AAGAATGCGTAATAACCATAGCACCCTCCTTTTAGGATTCTGTGTAAGTTTAGCAGTCAACTTTCTCTAAACGCAAAAAATGATTTCCCTATCCTCCCCTAATTGCCGATGCAATTTTTTTAACCACAATAAATTCAATCAATTTAAAACTGTCAAATATAACTACTTGATTAAAAACCATTTTTGAATCTTTCATTAGAGAAGAGGTTTATGAACCGATTTAGGAAAAAAAAATTAATTCATCAAAATAAAAGTGAATTGACCCCACTCCTTCTGTTCCAAACACAATGCAGCACATTTGAGTGCATTATAGTTCGGAGGGTGAATGTCTTGCTGTACGAGTAATTTTACTTTTAGTCAACTTTAGACTGCAGGATTGTTGCAATTATGCTCAAAATGTACAAACATGCAAGTAAAGTTTGATGCAATTTGGTTGGATTGTCTGTCTGTCTATAGAATTGCTTCAAATCTAATCTTGTGATGGAGATAAAGACATTAACACTTTCTTTACTTTAAAAACATTGAGGCAAGCACTTTTGGTCTTCTCCCTGATTTCTGTGACCTAAGTACGAGTAAATCTTCATCCATAAAACTGGAAGAATCAGGAAGGAGACTCTCATCACAATTCCCTACATTCCTGCACCTCTCGCTACATTGGACAAGGTAAAAAAAAACGAAACAATGAACATTTGATACACTTTCTTTAAAAGAGAAATACATTAATGATGCTCCCTGACAGTCTGCATTAATCAGAGGGGGCTCCCCCTGAACACAACTCTTTATCGGCCATCGATTTTCCAGTGGGTTTATGGCGAGCGACACACCGAGAAAGCTCGTCGCGGGCGGCTGCTGGGAAACACATTACGGGGCTGTCAGTTGTCTCGCCATGCATCCTGCATCATTCTTTAAGCACATGAGAAGTTCATTATACCACACAGCTCTGATATTATTACACTAGGATATTATGGACTGTGTCCATTGTGCAGATCCTTGGTGGAAGTGTAGCACCATAGACATAAGAGAGAATTCATACATTATCCAAATATGGCTTTAAGTTGATTAGAGAGAAATCTTGCTTTCCACAGAGTTGAATTAAATGCATTTTAAAGTCAAAACAATACTCTTAACTCGACTAAAGCTTTTTTTTATAGTTTGCAGACAAATGATTATTTCTGAACTATTAGTCTGCCATTTAGCCTTTCATAATCACAGTAATGAACTTGAGGTTATAAAATATGTCTAAGACTTTCCCCTACTTCAGCAGCCATGTAGAAGAGTCTGACCAAGTACTGTAGTACCGTATTTGGAAATGAAGGTGCAGCAACAGTTTCCTACATCCTACACGTCCCATGTTGACCAAAATGATTTCTCACCTTAAGACGAGCACGCCGTTTTGATTTATGATGCTTCACAACCACTAAAATTCAATTTCAGCCTGCATTGCACGCTTCTGATTACCCCGTAAATGAGATAAACTGATAGCAATTTATTCAAGGATCCCACCTCTCCTTTCCTTTTTTCTCCTCTCTCTCTCCTGTTCTTTCAACAGGAGACACAACTCACATCCCAGACTTGGGTGAATCCAATATTTAAGCAATACGTCTGTATTCCGGAGCATTCAGCAGAACAGACAAGGTGGTGCTAATAGAAAACCTCTCAGAGAACCATGAGAGAGATAGAAAACAATGTGCGTGTTTGATGACGTGAGAAACATTCAGAATCTGCCTCCTGCAGCCTGATTACTCTTAGATTTCCTCTTCAGGACGTCCAGGAGCAATCTGACTTGGGTAAAGCACTTATTGACGACATTTGATGATGCTTGATAATGCCAGCCATCGCTCATTCACGGCTTTAATGTGACTGTGTAACTCTGCTAGGAGAATCCCATTAAGAGCTAAGTAATGTCAAATAAAACAGAAGTAGTGGACGTCTTGAATAGACTACACTTGAAAACTATGCAAGGAGCTTCAAACTGCTTCTGTACACGCATAGCACGTGCAAGTAACCATGCCAAAACTACAAAGTGATCAGGTCTGAGATTTCACCAGTATTCTGATGTGACCACATACTACTAACAACAAAAACAGCACCACTTATCTCCAAGGTGTCGATGATGTTCACTCTAAACAACAATGTGGTCAACAGACCCATTCAGACTTTAAAGAGAAGCTGTCAGAGACCATGATAAAAAAGCATAATGATTATAAATGCTTAGCCCCATTTAGGAGGCGTCAATGCCATTGTTGTTGTTATCCGGCGTATCAATCTTGTTGATTGATCATCCCGCTCTGGTGACATCAGTTTTATGGCCTCTGAAATGCGTCCCAGTGTTTTCACAATGCCATCCAATTAGGGTACTCCATTCATCACTGGGCTGGAGAATCATTATTAATTGGGTGGAGAGCCGACTGCCACTCCCCTGCTGAGGAGGGCCACGGCTTCTGGAGATCAGGCCATTCAGATGACGGTAAAAGGAATGAGGGCTACGAGGGTGCACTGTGCAGGGGGCCACGTAGAGATACCAAACTACACACCTTTATGTACTTTATAGGCATGTTCAGTTAGAATACATGCTCTTTTTTCATAATGGATGGAGAAATTTGTTGAAGTGGATCACCGAGTCATGATGTGCTTTGTTCAATAAGAAATAAGTGAACGCATAGAGTATAACATGACAATATTAACTCCAAATTTTGCCTGTTTAAGTCTGCCACCTCCTTCTAGCCCCTAAATCACACACTACTGTGGAGGCATATAGACCAACCAATAGGAGTCACTTGTTCACCTCCAAGGACGTGATCTCTCACTAGCTTCCCAACTGCAAAACTACAACCAATTTTGCACACTGAAGAAGTAGCTGAAACATCTAGGGTTTCACTCCTCTATGGCGAACATAGAAACAAATAAATTATTTTAAATAGATTCAGGTGTGCAAACTCTCCTCTTTTTAAAAAATGATTTCTATCCAAATGCAGCACAAATTTTGACAGAATTTCCAGAAAATCAGCAAAAGAAAATGTAAATTAATACACGTTTCCAGGCACTACCGAGTTGGTGGCACAAATTCATCAGGTACTATTAAATCACTGCAGAAAAAGAGGGCACAATGCAATGATGTAATTAAAAGAGTGCCAGGCAAACCTCAAATGGTGGAAAAAAATGTAGAATGACAAATATGGCATTTCAGGTCTTAATTTAAGGGCCTTTACAGTTTCCTCAATGATCCACACAGATCTGACGTTTTTGCGTTTATATGTGCATAAAAACAGGTGGATGGAAATGTGCTTTTTGTTTCAGAAGTTTTGGTTATTTCAAAACTGTAGTGATGAGATTTGTGTTGTACCTTCATTGCCTGCAGATAAGCCGTCTGGCTTCGTGATGCCCGTGCTCTTTTTCCGTCTGTGCTTCTTGCGGTTGGCATGTGGCGAAGGTGGTGGCTCAAGTTTTGGACTTGTGGCGCTGCCCACACTGGAATTCGCAGGATCACTCATTCCATTGGCTGAAAAAAAAAACAACAAAAAAACACACAGACAGACACAATTGTTATTTTTTTATGTTAAATAAATAGGGGTGGTTTGAATTTTTTTTGTTCATCTCTGTTTTATATTCGCTGGCCATGTAAGTTTGACCGTCACAGCTTCAGCTTGGTATCTACCGTTCCACACTGGGTTCAACTTACAGTCCTACTCATAAAAATACACCAAAGCAATTACGCTGCTACAGAAGTCATATTGTTGGGTCATATTTGTTGCTATGATGAACCATAATATACAGATAAGGAACTGCAGATGAAGATTTTTTGTGTTTAACTTGGATTAAAGCTACACAATATATCGTTTTGAGCATTGTCATCGCAATGTGCTCTAGCACAACAGTCACATTGCAGAACGCAAGTCAAATTAACTCAAACACCAACTTTTTTGCTGCTTGATACAAAAGGAAAATTCTTATTTTTCATGACTAGTCTACAAGAGGACTATCAGATGTGACATCATTTACTCCGATTAAAGGGTTCTTGGATACATAGAGTTTGTTGCTAGTGACTGACAAGCAAGCTCTGCATGCACAGCGAACCACCAATCACAGTATTGTTCTTAATCAGTTTATCAAACAACCAAAGTAGGCCCTGCCCGCCTTAGTTGTTGACAACGACTTGAAAATGAGTGATGAATGCTCTTTTATTTTTTATCATTTGTTGAAAATATGTTTAATGCATTAAAGTTCAAGAAAGGATAGTTAGCATTAAAAAAAAGTATTCAGACTAAAAGGACTTTTTTCAGGTTATTTATTTTCTATTTCAATGCATTTTTCCCTTCCAAATCACCCCAATAATTCAAGGATGCTTAATTCTTTTCAAATAGAGCAATTTAGGTAATTTGGTGAAAATTTCTGTATTTTTTCATGTCGCAATATGTATCGCCACTAAGAAAAATATTGCAATGTTAGTTTTTCCAATATTGTGCAGCCCTAATGTGGACTGTTGATTAGTCTGAGAGTAATTGCATTAATTGATTTCAGATGAGGCTGCAAGTCCAGTGTGAAGAAACCGATGCAAGACACATTAATGTGTTACATGGGCAGAGTATAAAATAGTTTTGAAAAATGTGAAACTATTCCTTTAAAAATAAACTAAACTGGCAGCTTCAATTTAACTTAGTACAACTGAAAAAAAAAAAAGGAACATACTGCTATGTATCAAACGTAGGAATCATTTTGAAATGACACTGAGCAATGAATAATGAATGATATTATCAGCAATGAAAGACTCATGCAAAGTCGAGGCAGACTAGAGTTGGAAATGGCTTTGAGTGCTCCAAAAGTAACAATGTGGCTGGGGCTTTGGGTAGAGTGAAGGACAGGTATGGGGCTATCAGTGAACAAATGGTTACCTAAGTTAGCCTGTGGCAAAGCCCTCTATATGACTGTCTGAGAGTGACAGGGGGCTAAGAGCCGGCTTTGTTTCTTGTAAGTGATTTTATAAATGTGATATTAACCTGTGATACCGTTGGGCAAAGGGATAGGAGGAATGGGATGATAGGAGGGGGTTGTCAGCTTGCCATCTTTCTGATTTCCTGACATTTGACATCACTTTCCCTTCTTTCCCCCTCCGGATGCCATTATGAATCTGGGAGCGGGGGCCAGGGGCCTGGGGGAAGCAGGGAGGGAGAGCCAGTAGATGGGCCCCATATTGCTCTCCTCTTACCACCCTGTGTGGTGCTGGCAGCCTCCTCCATTGTCCCCCATCAAAAGCTCATTGTAGTGTGGCAAACTCCATTCATTTCCCTGTGCACCGTCCCAGCCCCAGGGGTGGAGTGCAGGAGGACAAGGGGCTCAGGGATTATTGCTGTTGTTGTTGCCAGTTGCACATGCTATAATGTGCGCCACTGTGCCATTAGCCAGTGTACAACATTAGGCCTAATTCGGTCATTACCTTTAGGGAGATGGGGCTGTCTTGGAGGAGTTAAGATGGGCTCAGCAGGGGACGGAAGATGCTAACGTAGAGGGAGAGTCGAGCTCCGAGGGCCCGGGGATGCATTGTCTGAATGTGAGCAAAATATATAGGCGACAACACCTGAGACACACATTGTTATGTCTGTGCTTGACTTAGAGATTAGTCATTACTGGAAAACATTAACAAATGTGTTTAAAATATCAGTATATTTTAGTTGTTAGAAGATAACGGACCATACTTAGCAGTATGAGAACTAATATTTTAGCATTAATTGTCAAGTGCTACTTGGAAAATAAATAAGAGTGATGATATTCCACCACATTAATAAACATAACATTGGTGCTTGTGCTGGACCACATACATTAAGCTCTCTGGTGTTTGAATGGCAGCACGCAGCCACACATGTAGCAGCTCCTAGTCGAGGCGTCTGTTTCAATTTCCCTGCTCTCTTACAACAGCCCCCCTGAGACGAGTCATTAGCTGGCTCAGACAGCTGGGGGCACAGGGGTCCTCCATGTGCCCCCCCCCCCCCCCCCCCCCCACACCCCCCGTCCTCCCTCCCCACCACACCCTCTGCTACCTCCTCCCTCTACATCCCAGCGTCTGTCCCGCCAGCACAGCTCCGTATGGCGGGTGGAAGACTTGAGCTCCAACGTGACAGCCAGCATTTGTTTAATGTCGCTTGAGGTTAAAGGGGAGGGCTGCCCCTCAGGGCCCCCAACCATGTCATAAACACCTCTAATTATCAATTTCTGCCCCTAATGTTGTGGAAAATGACCCTGGGCCTGCTCATCCTGCACCTCCTGCATCTGAAACATATACAGGGTGATACACTTCCCTTTGTTTGCACCAATCAGGCTTTAAGTAGTCTGTAACATGAAGGAAATGGATAAAAGTAAAGTTCACATCACTAAGCAATAATATCAAACCACCTGAAACCTAATGCTTTATATAATGCAGTCTTTAAGTGGTTCTCAGCTCCAAACTATACATGACTGGTAGATTATATTTCTTAAATTGAGAATTATGAAGTTACAATTGGACTGATTCTGGGAGCAGAGTGTTCACTGTGGCATTATTAGCTAGCTGTTAGTGTGTACGAGGGCCATCAGGACCAAGCTGGGTAATGAAGCGCACTGGGGATCAGGAGTCTCTTTCCCACTCAGCCACGATCACCTGGGCAGCAGAATAGGTATCAGCCTAACCTGTGATTACAGTGTATTACACTCTCACCACGGAGATGACAGTTTAAACATGCTTCAGGATGAAGACTATGGGTGAGACAAAGAGGGGGCTGCTAACAGCTTCCTGCCTTTACCAGTGCAATACTGACAATGAATGAATGAGAATGGAAAAAATGGTGTGAGAGAGAGAGAGAGAGAGAGAGAGAGAGAGAGAGAGAGAGAGAGAGAGAGAGAGAGAGAGAGAGAGAGAGAGAGAGAGAGAGAGAGAGAGAGAGAGAGAGAGAGAGAGAGAGAGAGAGATTTCATTGTTATTCAAGAGGCTCCGGGTGAGGAGCACTATGATTCCACCAGGCCCCTTGACATGGCAGCCCTGCCTGTCCTCAATCAAAGCCAACGGCTGCAATTAATGGCAAAAATTAGAAACAATCACCGCCTCCCCCTTATTATCCTCAATTAGAGCGTACTAATCAAGGCCTGATCGCGCTCTGCTGCTCTCTCCAAACTAAATGTCAAACTTCATTACGGCCTGGCGTAGAAATCAAACGCCCCACATGCTATCACCCTCGCATCAGGAGGCCAAGGTATAAAAAACAGTGCCACAGGAAAAGGCTATCTGTGCATTAACTACCTGTGTCCTCATATGCAAACTTAGAGGACAAAAAGCACTTGTATATAAATAGAACCACATAGCAGAACAGAGCTGCAGCACAAATGTCTCGGGAGGATGGAAAGAAAAACATGATGCAAACTTTTCATGGAGTTCTACAGGTGGGCAACTTGGACAAAAATACTATTGTGATAATTAGGACAGATTAATCAATATATAGTTCACCATGAATTAATCTCTTGATTATTTTATTATTATTGTGTTTTTCCTCATAAAATGTAGGAAAATAGTAAAAAAAAATGCTAATTACGACTCCCCAGAGTCTAAAATTACATTTTCCAATCGCTTGTTTTGTCAAGTCAACAGTCTAAAACCCACAAGATATTCAATGTGCTAACATATAGGGCAAAGAAGAGCAACAAATCCACACATTTGAGAAGCTGGAACCAGTGAATGCTTGTAAAAAAAATGACTGAAGCTTTAATCGATTGTCAAAATTCTTGCTGGTCAACTTCACTATTAAATCAACTACTTGTTCCAGGTCTGCTTCCCACTATGTACAATTCTTTTGTGTTTTAATACAACAAAATTGCATGATTTAAAAAAACAACAACAGTACATTTGTTAGTTGGGACAGATTCTAGCATAATTTCACTTGTTATATTTTTTTTGGAAAAGACAACTGTGAACCAGGATATCTCAAACTTCTTTCTAGAAAAGATAATATTGAATTAATTATTGAATCATTACCCACAGAGATCACTGGTCTACAGAAATCTCTTGCCTTCAGAAAAGTGATATTACTCACACTCTGACCATGACTTAAGTTGTAGTCGTCAGTGAGTCCATCACATTGTACCCATCACATTGTTTGAGCCTCTTGCTTTTAATTCAGGTTCAAAGATTGAGGTGTACACCAAGGAGAGCAGGATCTAAACAAGCATTAAGAATGGGTGTCTTTATGAATGCAAGCAATAGAAAAATTGGGCCGGGATTTAATCAAAAATCTGCGCTCAATATTCAAGAGACGATACTACCTCTGCTTCTGCCTTTGCTCAATAGGTTTACAAATGAGGACATTCTTTAAATAATATGGAAATGGTTACCTGGCTAAGATGCATTCATTCTCCAGTGAATCATCAATCTGCTGTTTTTGCATCTCAGAATCACATTTTATGTTAACCTGCAACCTTCACCAAGGATAATGGAGTGATTGGGCTCGGTTCAAGTCAATTCAAATGGCAAAACATGAGCACCCTTCACTGTGGAACACCCTCTATTGATTATTGAAGGCGCATTAGGATGAAAGATAAGAGGGTCACATTTCAATCAAGTTTATGTTTTCTGATGGTCCAGCCACACTTTACACTACAGATATATTCTGCTGCTATACTTATGATTCCTATCATGTCAGGAGACATAAAAACAAGATATGCAGAGAACGTTTATGAGCTACAAAGATGTTGCTTCTAGTGTACATTATAAGTCTTAAACTGTCTGCACTGACTATGCACTGATTACAGAGACACTCCTTCCCATAGACGAGCAACATATCTATCATTTGACGCAGCGTTTCTACTATTATTTTCAGCTCATTTGCCTCATTCGAGCTCATTTGTGGTTACCTTAAGACTAGCATAAAAATAATTGAAGAAAATAGAATAATGGAGCAAATTGTGGATCTGATTTAGTTGAAGACTGGGTGCTGGTTAATGAGCTATGTTAATATTGAGGGCTTTTCAGTTTACCAAACATGAAAATGGGAAATTCTATGCATCCTTATTTTCACAGCACAATGTTCAGGAATTCCTATTTGTCCTCTGCAGACCGGCCGCCCAACGCACGTTCACAAACATCCAGTATGAAGCTTTTTTTTCCTCTCCCATACACACATTGTAATACAGACGCAAACATGCTCTGTGGAAAAAACTCACATACAAACAGCTACACACACACAAAAATAAATCAGCGAGAACACACACACTCACGCTCATTTATTTGAGGACCCCACGAATCTAAGTAATTCTGCTTTGGGCATGCTGCTGATGGGAGACAGGGGTAGGGGGTGATGGAAGTGCCTGCGTCCAGGCAGAATTGATCGTTTGGCAGCTCCAAATGAGAGACAGGCTTGTCTGTGGAACCACGAGGGCCGTGCAGTTGGACTCCAGCAGCGCTCGTAAAGTGCGCTCTTTAAACTGCCGGGGCCCCTGGGAGCCCATGGGGAGGGGGGGAGCCGCCGCCGTGCTAATGAGAACTACCAGAGTGCAAACATGCATGGAAATGACTGTTATTCTGTTGATGTGCATTTAAGTGCTTTTTTACTGCCAACCACAAAGAGAGGGAAATAACTGGTGATGAATGGTACCCCCAAAAAGCATTCATTTTCCTCTTCGAAAGAAAAGAGAGGAAAACAGACGGGGGTGGGAAGGGTGGGGGGGATAAGAGTATGATGGAAGGTAAAGACAGGATGGGGGGGTAGACATGCATGGTGAATATATCATCTTACTTCACTCAAGTACAGTGACAAGGTGCAATGTGACACAGAGGGAGTAAGTGGAGATGCATCGATGGCAGAAAGTTAACCTTCACTGTTCTGCTCCTCTGAACAGGGAGCTTCTATCAAAGAGCGGCAGCCAAAAGGTCACAACGATCACAGCCCTGATCACCTAATTATGAAAATGAGGCTTGTTCCACCTGTCTAGGAAACTCTGGAAAATGGCATCTCCATCACACCACACGTCTAGATCAGATCCCTTCATTTTCTTTGTATTCACTTTTGCGGTAGCAACGTGTGAATTTAAATTGCACTATGCATGGCGAGGACTTTGGAAGGGATTAAGGGAATGGAGAAGGTAAGGAGTGCAGGCCTTACGTGCTCCGCTGCTAGTACTGGTGTTGATGGCTTCATTCCACTGGTCGGCGCTGGACACAGAGAAGGAGCGTTGGTGCATGCCATCTTTACTGCCACCAAACACCGATCCGCCCGTCTGGAGGGATGTACTACTGTTGGAGTGAGGAGCGCCTGGAAAATAAGTGACAGCACAAGAAAGTGAATCCTGATTTCTCATGTTCTCTGCACCAGTTTGAATTCTACACTTAGCCTGGTAGGGTTGTTTTCTATAAACAAAAAAAGTCTGCAATGAAGTGATAATAGTGTAATTGAGTTAACGGTTTTTGGTCGTTTCTACAGCACTGCAATGCTGCTGCAACCTTATTTGTGCACATCCTTCTGTCAGCCAACCCCCCTCACGCAGGCGCATGCACACACACACACACAAAACCCCTCTCCCTCTGTCTCTAATTAGCCCTTAATTAACAAGATACACTCTGAACGCTAATTATCTCGCCTCATCCCTCTGACTGCCACATCGATCTCCACTGGCGTCAGCAGGCGTCCTCTCCCTAACTTCCAATCAGACGAGCCACGGACGCCTGGCTCTCTTTACTAATTCATGGGCTAGGGTGCGCCATGTGCGGTCCTTCCCTCCTGTTCGCAAGCAGTCGCTACAACACATCCTAACTACTCTGAAAAACACATCGATACACTTCATGTCACCACCAGTCATGTGAGGGGAATCAGATGAACTGGTTAAGCTGTAAAATGCATCAAACTGAGTATAACTGTCATGTAATACAATCATTTGTTCCAAAATTATGTGATTTTATTCTGAAAAATTAGGGTACCATTGACACTAATTAGAACTTATTTTTGTATGAGCTACAAGAAAAAAATTGGTTGTTAAATAAAATTAACCTTCTTAATAAATTAAAAGTTAATTTTCACAGTATTTTTCTCTAAAAGCTGACACAATAACTCATTTAAAAGCTACACAACTACATTCTCAAAACAATACAATTGAATGAGGTAAATAGTCACTGATTTGACATTTCAAGGTAAAAATTTCAGTGGTTTTGTTTTTGGAAAACAAGCCATATCTCTGATTTTCTCAACAATGCTTTCTCATCTTCCAGGTATCACACATCAAGGCCTTTTATTCAATAATCACAAGAGAATATCAGTTTCTGATTGAGGTGACAATAACAGAAAATATAGTGTGTGTGGGTCGTGTGTAAAGTAAACTAAGCGGCACGGGTGCTTGTTAGGATAATATGTCCTACTCATTATCTAGAGTAATAAGTGTATCAAATTCACATAATCATGTCTAATTAGTATCAGTAATTATCTTGTTGGGCCCAGGAATATTAATCTTCAGGTCCCAGAGGGGAGGGAGCACAATCGCAGCAAGAATGGGAGAGAGAGCGAGGGAATCATGCTGAGGAGCACTGACTAAATTAGCATGCTGAAATCAGAGCGGAGGAGGAGGGGGAGGCAGAGCAGAGGAGTAGGGGTACTGAAAAGAAAATATCAAACTTTGTTTAGTTTTTTTTTAAAGTGATGTCTGAATGATACATACGATAAGCCATGACTTATATAGAAATGCTTTTGGTTGCTTTTGTTTTAAAATGCATTTTACACCCCCCCCCCACACCCCCACCCCACACACACACACACACACAACAGTACCTACTTGCAAATATAAACGTTTAATCACCTCATTGTTTAGAAGTAATTCTTTATTATCTTTTATACTACAAACATCAACATTTTTTATTTCCAGTGTGTAGTTTGACTATTTGACCCCTTAAAAAAGAACCAAAAAAAAAAAAAAAAACTGATAGATAACTACAAAGCAACTTCGATTGATATTTAAAATTCAACAATCACGTCTAATTGTCAAATTGGATGCTAATGATTGATGAATTATACATGGCTGTATCCATTAGTCCCCAGAGACCACTCCTGCATAAAGGGGAGGATAATGTAATTACAGTGGAGAAATAATCAGCTTGTGGCATTAAAATAGCACTGTATTCACAGCTCCAGCCAGGCCTGACTAGTACGTTTTACAGATTTAGCAGTGGCACTACGGTGGACTGACAATGGTGAACCTCACAACTGCAAACTGAGGTCTACAGGATTTGACTGAACACTGAATGCTACCAACTTTAGTGCTCTGAATGTCAAATACAAATACATCAAGCATTATTGAATTCTTTAAAGCAATACATGTTTAGAATATTAGATTATTTGGGATTTATTATTATTATAGACCGAAAAATAAAAAACTATGACACTGCAGAGCAACAGGAGTAAAAAAGTTAAACTGTTAACTTTATAGTGCAAAAACATTAAATGCTGTTTCATAAAGGCCCTTTGCATAAAAAACATAATTTTGATGATATACATCCAACCTTATTCTGCCTGTTCTCTATTGATGATCTTTTTTTTTGTAGTAAAAATTGAACAGCGATCAAGCCACTGGTAGAAACTAAATAAGCACATTTACTCAATTAGTGTACGGGTACAATTATAAGGCTTGAGCATTTCTACTTTTTGCCACTTTCTACTCCACTATATTTCAGAAGGTAATATTGTACATATCACTGTACTTAATTGACAGCTTTAGTTACTTTGTAAATTAATTTAATTTTACATACATGAAATACATTTGTTTTTAAAAATAATATCAAATTTATAAATTAAGCTAGCAACAGAATAAAGTCCACCTCAGCGAGCTACAACATTAAACTGCTTCTTCGTTCCTACATTTTATGCATCAGCAATAATAATAATGATCTGATAATGAATAATATAACACTGACAGCAGCCATTCTCTTGTATAATGAGCACTTTTACTTTTTATACTTGAAGTACATTTGATGATAATACATCTGCAATTGTACTTGAGTAAAATTTTGATGAAGGTCTTTCTATTACTTAAATAAAATAAAAAAAATCTGAATACTTCTTCCACCACTGCATCTAGATACTGTAATTAAAACCATCATTACCATTACCACATAAGAGGATAGTCCTGTTCAGCTAAATTCAAAGTGATACTTATCTTATTAAGCAGGTTACAACAATACATTTAATTTGAACTCCTGTGCAAATTCTCATTACTTTGCTTAAACTTAAAAGTACAAAGAACCATTATGAATTATTTCTTGCTAACTGTATCACCATGTGTATAAAGAGATAACAAAAACCACATAGGCTATCCAGGGCTGGGGTGTTAAGTAGAGGCGATGGATTAGCAGGGAGCAGCGCTGCCTTGCTTCTCATTTCTCTTTAGGCTGGGGCGTCAGTGGGTTGATGAGCCGTGACGAGGCTTGACCCCTCTGTGGAGTTGTTGCCATTATGTACAAGAAGTGGGATAATGAAGCATTCATGGTAATGTGGGCTGGGCAGCACATCATCTGCGGCTGTGTGTAATCTACCACCATCATCCTGACCAACGCCCAGACGTCCCCATCCACCCCTGATACTGCTGCTGCTGCCGCACACAAGTCACTCAGATGTTCATATTCATACCTATTTTTTATTCATAAAAGCTGTATGCATTTAAACAACTTCACCATTATTTTAAATCTTCCATATGGCACTACCCTACTTTCTTTACATGTTGCACTTTTAGGACAAATTTAGGCCATTCATTTAGGCCTTATAATGTATTTTTGTATTGTTAGAGGATTCTTGCAGGCATTTCCAGCTTAAAATGGCCATTATCTTACATGGTTCCTATGAATTTTATGACCTCTTGATGTAATTTCCTCTTAGATGGTCGAGGTAATATAAAAAAACAACAACAAACAACAACATTAAAGACGGACCAAAAATTTCTACACACAAAACAGATCTTGATAAACTATTACTCTATAGTGGGGATTCCTGACCAGGGGTACATACAGTTGTGATAGGGCACATGGAAAGATTGAGGACAAGCTCAGCTAATTTGGCATTTGTAATATAACGGGTGGCTTTGATGAGTCTTTGGTAATATGGCTGAGGGGGAGCATCAGACAATAAAGGACCCACTACTCTATTGTGTATGAGGCCAGATTGCCCCAGTGTTGGCTACAGAAGTGTCATGTTGGTATTGACAAGGCCTGCTGGTTAGTGAGTACTGAATTCAACAGTACTATAGATTAGAGACAAATTGTGGCACAGAGTAAGGAGGGAATGAGCTACACTTTCATGAAATCTCCACCTCTTCCACATGCATCTCTCTCCCCCACAGGATTGATTCAAAGTGACTGGGCCCATTAATACTTTGATACAATGTATCTGTCGCTGGTGACACGGCAGGATGCGTGTTAACAGGGAGGATCATATTTAAATGGTTCCGCTCAGCACCCAGCAAAGGAATTAAACCTGGCCGTTTGGCAAACTCGTGGGCGCATGCGTTCTCTCATTTACTCTCTGTCTTCTCAGCCTCTCCTCTTCATCTTCCCATCTCCCCCATCCACTCCGCCCCTCCTTCACTCCGTCGCAATCCCTCTTCTCCCAGTGATTATAAAGGTCTTTAGATCTAAGGAATGAATGAATTACCAAAAGCAGAGACAAGGCTTGTGATTTGGACGCCGTGAATGAAAAATTACCCCTTTGTTCCCTTCATCAATTGCACGTCTAATGAAATCAAAATCCCGATCACATAATCAGAAGAGGGTCCTCCACCCAGAGAGAGACCCGATGTGATTTGTAACCTTTCTTTTCCTAAGTGGAGATTAAGGCAAATCTCCCACACATTGTTCCCTGATGCACAAATGGATGGCAACTGAAAATCCTAGGAATGTGTCATTGAGGTGTCCAAGAACAACAAGAGGAGACATTGTTGGGTTAGAGAAAAAAAAATGAACTTGGAGATAAAACAAACCAGTTGGTGCCGTTTTCCCACAACCTGGTCTGGCCTGTTTTTCAAGGCCTTTTGTCTGCCCCAGTGACTCTCCTCAACCCAACGCTCAAGGTTAACAAGTTTGCGGGATGGAACAACCTCGATCCAACGTCCTCTGCTCTGTAAACTCCTACATCTTTCTGCTTTTGACTGATTAACCCATTCAGCAGTGGCAGCGCCTTGGCCAGGTTTAACAGTAACCTGCCTGGCCAGTGCTAATGGTCCCTGCTGACCCGTCTTTGGCACCTTACCCACTCTCAGCCAGTTAGCTTTAGCCTGAGTGATGGAAACGCTGTGCCCATTTCACAGCCAATGAAGGACCCCTCCTCCCTCTGGGGATCACTTTGCTAATTAGTATTAATTACTCTTAATCCTAACCCCTACATCCAATCACCGGCTTCCCCTCTATAAGCCTGCCAGACTCTTTGCAGCCTCCAGGGGCAAAGCTCGCTGGGAGAAGAGCTCTATTTTTAAACTTGAAAGGTGGAGAAACCCTGGCACGATGCTCAGGGCCAAACAGTTTTTTGTTGCTGTGACCCCCACTACCATAGAGGATGAAAAATAACTGGGTCAGTGTCATAGTGGCATTATAGTAAAAGATAAATAAACCAATTTTTTTATATTTCCTTAAACATGGGCATGATGTTTAAACATTATTTTTAATTCCCTGTTTAGTAATTTAGAGAATGAATAGATTTTTCATAGACACTCATTAAATAATCATTGTGTATACTATGAGGCAGCTAATTTGCATGAATGAACTATACAGACAGTAGATAATTAACCTGTTGGGACCCATTTTTATAATTTATTAAAAACTGAGGACATAGAGAATGTGGACAGTAATAATCATTGAGTAACAATTAAATATTATAACTGTGATTTGTTAATCCTTTTGAGTAGTACATAAATTATAAGACGATACTCCATCCTTTCAAATTTAAAAGTGAATTGTAGTATTATGTGGTATTTATTGAATACTACAACTGCAAGTGAAAAGACTTAAAATAGCTTTCTGTCTTAAAAGAACTGGATGTGCTGTGTGGATGTGTGGCAACTTCAAGATGAACATATTTCAAAAAAAGTGTTCACAATCCAGGAATATTATTAACACTGACAAGAGCGGCAAGTTTTACTATCCCTTAACGGGCTCATGAAAAGGTATTTTGTATACCGTTTTCATGACACTGATTACAGTAAACTGCATGAAGTCCGCCTGTCTTACACGCATGTCTCTCTCTCTCACTCTCTAATAAAACATCAACTGTTGTCCATTGTATGTTATAAGAGCCTAATTAAGCAAACACATTGCTCTTACTAGTGTTAAAAGATCCTTGATCATATTTTCAAAGGGTTGGTCACTTCTGCAAACACTCTGGTTTAGTTTTCTGACCACACTCGAAGACTTAACTGACTTGTGCTGTACCATGTTTGTACCAACATATTCCAGTAGAATCACTCAATAAGTTGTGATTGCAGAGGTGTCTGAACCCATAAAATGCATATCTGTATCTTAAACATGAAAACTGCAAAAGAAGCA